TGTGGCCGAGTAAGAGAATAAAAATGTCAACACACAAATTAGAAACTTGGAGAGCAATAAAATATTAAAACAGAAAGTTAGCACAATGATAAAAAAAAACATTAGCTTGCTTAAAAAAACAAATGAATCAACTAAAACAAGAGCAGCTGGTAGTAAAATAAGTGAAATGAAAAACCCGATTTGCCCAAAGGATCAAAATGAAGCCAGTGTTCGATGGCTCTGCAGGTTGTTCCAGGACAACAGTGAGTCAAACAGGATTTTCCAGGCTCAGTAAAAACAGCCGGCACCTGCAGCATAATCCAATCATTTGAGCATGTTTATAAGGTTCCACAATTAAAGACAGTAATGAGATGATGTAAGAGTGTAAACAAATAGTAAGAGCCTAATAAATGAGAGGGGATTAGAGAACGAAAACAGAACGCAGTCACTGATGTTATTAGTCACACCTGTGCTTCTCTTGTGTTGGTTTAAGTTAGACAACGGGGCTGAAGGACGTATCATCAGATTGACTTGGATATCAACCTCGAGAATGTGTTGTGCTGTTGTAACCTTTTGCGGTTTTCATGTGCAGGTATTGGGGGTAACCTGGTGGCCATCCAGTCCAGCAGGATCTCCACCCACCTGCATTTCCACTGTGCTCCCGGGGAGGTTCCTGACGAGGCCAAGGGCTGCTACTACCCGTGCCGTACATTCTGTGGAACAGGTCAGTCCGAGCACGCCGGGCCCATTTCATGAAATCACATGAACAGGGATTGTTTTTCCCACCGATGATAGGTTAGAACACATTCATTATTTAGGCTGTTAGAAAATTCTGAACCGGTTGTTCACGAGAAGCCTTCAGTCTGGCACGTTCTGCTTGGCTTTCACACAACTGAGAAGAAGGTTTGGACACCACAGTGTCCATGAATGCTGTCAGGATTATAATGAGGCTTTAACTTGAAGGTTTGACACCGTGGTGTTCAGCTCTTGTCCTGTTGAGCTGGACTACTGCTGGTTCTCTGTTAATCCAGCCTCTGCTACCCCAGGTGTAAATTAATTCCTTGTCAGAAGTCTAGAATGAAAACCAGCAGGACTCTGAATGCTGGGGACAGTGGGTGGACTGGTTCAGCTAGCACCATTTGTCACCGAGCTATTCTGTCATGTGTCTGCAAATGTTTTTTTTCCAATTTCAAGCAAATGAGTCCCTCGTGCTCCACATTAAACTCTCTTCTCTCGATTTTGTTTGTGTTTTCTTTAGGAGCCAATCATCGCTCTGCTCAGGTGCTTCTGCTTTTAGTGATCCCTGGTCACCTCATCTTCCTGTACACCATCCACCTGATGAAGAGCGGCCACACGACGCTGACTCCTATCTTCATGTCGGTCTACCTGGCTGCTGCTATGCTGCAGGTCAGTCCCACATCGCCTGGCTGTCACATGTGTTAGAAATTCTGAAGTAGTCATTCTAGACCAAATATTGAACCTCTTGGGCTTTTGGCCCAATCTAGTCCTAATGTAGCAGATAGTAACGCTGCTTTAACGGGAGCTGTAATATCAAGACGATTTGCACCCCAAAACAAAAGACATTAAGAAACTGTTTAACGCGACACTAGTTCATAAAATCTCTATTAACAGTGGATGAAGTGTTTCATGTGAAAGCAGTCTGTCATGGTGACTTACCCTAATTATCACCTAATGCTGCAGCTCCCATCAGCTCTACAGAGCCTTTAAGCACTCGTCAGATCATTGTTTTTTTGCTTCACAGCCCAATTGTTATGGTTCAATCTGTCAGAAGAGAAAAGAACATATTGGACTCACATTTAATAATTTCAAATCAATGCTAATGTTAGAATTCTGTGTTTTACATTCTTTCCGTTGTTCTCAAGTGGACGAAGGAAGCTGTTAATGCAGCATTAAACTGTTTGTCTTGGATTAGTTTCCCGTGTTTCAGGAGGGAAATTATTTTAAAACCCGACAATCTTGCTCACCAGAAACTCTCATCAGACTTTACCGGTTATCGTAGCAAAGAGCATTTTAGTTGGGTGGTGACTCTGAGCAAGTGTTACACAGTCTGTGTCGCCGTGCCACATGTTTAGAAACAGCAACATTTCAAAAAACTTATCAAGAAACTTTTTACTTTTTCTTAGTTTTTCACTATTTTGGACAGGGCCGGTCCTGACCAATTTGGTGCCCTGGGCAAGATTGTAGTTTGCGCCCCCTAGCATCACAGTGAATTTCACTCCTAGTTTTCATACAGTAACACAAACTGTATGCATGTATTCAAGCTTTTATTTAAGTATAAACAACACACTAAATGAAACTGAAGAAACAAGTCTTTGCGACACTACAAGCGCCGATGCAGGTCCTCTACCAGGGTCTTCAGACATTAGCGAAGGCGGTTCGCTAACGTCTTAGCTGCTAACGTCTTTGCTCCGAACGTTAGCAGCTAAGACGCTAACGTTTTCGCTAACGTCTTCGCTGCTAACGTTAGCAGCTAAAACGCTAGCGTAACGTCTTTGCTGCTAACGTTAGCAGCTAAAACGCTAACGTAGCGTCTTTACTGCAAACGTTAGCAGCTAAGACGCTAACGTACCATCTTTACTGCTAAAGGCAGAGAAACTGCATTGGCGCTCCTTAATAAATACTTGTCTGAATACATGTCAGTTAGCCTGGCAAGCTTGTGGCGCCCCCCGTGGATGTCGGCGCACTTAGCATTGACCTATACAGCCTATGCCTCGGGCCGGCTCTGATTTTGGAATAGAGTTAATGAGCAACAAGGAAACACTTTGTTTGAATACGTTATGGCACAGTGAGGATGAATCTGGAGGACCCATCAGCTGTTTCCGTTGTTTTTGTTGTTGTTTTGGCCTGCTGACAGCGTGAAACATGAGCGATAACGGCTGACAGGAAAGAGGAATTACAATTTGCTCAATTACCAACATTTCCTGAGGACTTCTTTCCATTTTCCTCTCATAGATGCCAAGTTCGGTTTGTTTATTGTCCTTCTTCCCTGAGCTTTTTAAGCAAACAGCTGGTTTCCCTTTTCTTCTACTGTGTTTATTACCGTCACATTTAATCTCCTGATGACACCACCTAGCCTTTTTGATCCAGAGCAGGTCATGTAAACAATGCTAACTCTTTTTTTTTCCTAATTCTGTGCAACATTTTTGACAATTCTATGAAAACAGGGCTACAGAATGCCCCTGAGCTCACAAAATCTCTTGGCAGAGTCTGAAATTTGTGACATTTAATTTTAATTTACAACACGAACGTTGGTGTGTGGAGCCTGGCTGAGAGTCACATGTTTATAGGGACTGCTAATGAGAGAGGCAGCTTCAGGACATTCATGATCTGAGGCTGTTTGGAACATGTGGCTTTAAAATAGTTTGTGTCCTGGTCTGAACTTCCACAAAATGCAGTCTCCAAAGCTTAAACAAAAGAGAGGGGAGCATCAGATGTGCTGATTTGGTGTTTGTCTGCGTATGTGTTTGCTCTTAATCACTCATCGTCTGTGACTGCACATTACAAGTTTGCACAAAGTTCATTTTAGCACATGCTCATCTTAGCCAGGCTGCTGATCCAGTTATTATTCAGATGCAAATATAATTTTCTCCCCAGTGAGAATATGAATAAGTTCCTAATAAAGATGAATCTGTGGATGTGTGCCTCCTCCTCTCCCCTTGTATTGAAGAGGGAGAGGCAGGTGTGTGTACCCTGTGAATTCCTGGAGCGTTGTGGTTTCAGGCAATGCCTGAAGGAATGGGACTTCTGTACATTTTTGTTTTGGCAGCAGTTAAGATAATTGCGAGGAGAGATTTGAATTATGAATGGCTGCTTTTACTTTTTCAGGTGCACTGTGATCTGTCTGAAAGTTTGGAATTTTAAGAATTTACTCGGTGTGTTTTTGTGTATGTGTTGGACTCTCGCTGTGCTCGAAGGCTTTTTAAAACTCCCCTAAATCTTTAATGCAGACATGGAACATTAGGATGTAATCCTGGCCACTGAGGAGTTGGAGACTTTCCAAATCAATTAAGTCCATAGCCAGTAGAGCTGCTTTAAGGGTCCTTCAGTCCAGATAGAACATCAAATGGCAGAGACAAGCCCATGGGGGTGGAGGGGTAAGAAGAGTTGAATCCAGCCTCTTTCACATCTCAATATTTACCAGCAATAAAGAGAGAAGAATGATTAGTTTACTGATTGGATTGAAGAACTGAATTCTGCCTGGATTGGGGGGTTTCTGCACAGCTCCACAGCAACAAGGTTATTATGGAATAATTGTTTTTTTGAAGCATGCTGAAGAAATTGCTCAAAGAATTGAATCTGCTTTGTCATCGATGTGTTTGTGCAGACACAGACAGAATGGCAGACACTAATTATGAAGCTAAATGCTGTACATAATATCAAAGTTCTATACAGACCACAGTCTTTCCTAATGCCATACTCAAGGTTTTAAGACTGCAACATGTATAAATGCTAGACATTGTATTAAACTAGGGGGGAAATGTTTTTCTTGACCTGAAAATACAGAATAATACAGAGCTCATGTGTTTCGGTCCACATTGTTCTTGCAAATGTGGTTTCAATGGCTGCACATGTCTCAGCAGGCTGCTGTTGTCAGAAAAAAAAACTAACCCTAAAGAGCTATGAGCTGTTTCCTTGTAACTATTTGAAGCAAGCTTTTGAGATGTCACAAGAAAATTAAAAAGCTGAAAAAGCACGGCTTGTTTCCATTAACTCATCTGGAGCGAATACATTTAGCTGGATGGTGTCATTAGAAGGTGGCCGTCGTGTAATAATCTGAGTAGAAGAAGCTAAGAAAGACAACCAGCTGTTTCCCAAACATCAAAGAAGAAAAAGCTAACCAAGCTTTACCCATCTACAGGAAAACAAAAAAGAGAAATGTTGTCAGGATGTTGTTGCAGAAACAGCTGATTAGTTGTGTGAGTTAAATGTTTAGTCCTTCAATACTGAACAGTTGTTTGCACCTTCCATTAAAATTTGCTGATGCACAGAAAGACCATGATGTAAACGTGGCTGCTGTCTGCTGCCTGCTTTGCACCAATCAGCTGCCAGAAACAAAGTGTGTCTGTCACATAGCGAAGCATTGAATAGCTAGAGGCAGCTTTTTTCAGGTTTTGGTAGAGCCCAAAATCAAAGCTACACAAGAGTAAATATTGCACTTGAATTTGCCCAGTTGCCAGAAACACCATTACAAAAATAATGTT